AAAAATACTTAAGATCATTAACGCATGGCATAATCTTATTAATCCGTTTTCGACATACTGAGATTTGTAAATCTAATGATTACATATGTTTGCTGTCACCATAGTTTATCATATAATATGTAAGTAATATTGATCTTAGCATTCAATCCTTCTATGATTAGATAATTAATATAAGTTTTATGGTTTGGCACGTTTTGTCTACTTATTTATTCTAATAAATTTATAATTTGCATATCGAAGACAATATTTCTTATAAGGTGAAGGACAGTTTTTTCATCAGTTTACATAGATTTTTGCTTAAGATCATGTTACTAGCTATTACAACCTGAATTATGTACCAGAATATTTAAGAAAACTGAAGTGTCGTACGTAATGGTTGGTATTTTTACATTGTTGATAATAAAGACAACAATTAATCAGTCTCTGTTGAACTATAGGAATCGTGGATGAATTTCCTCGATATAGATTTTATTTACACGTTAGTGGACTTTTAGAATTAGAAACCTAATTGATAACGTGTTTGCATTAGAAGAGAAAACACTATGTCTGATTCCCACTTCAAATACTAACATCAAGGTGCAGTTATATCCATTTACTGAGTCCCACGTTCTGAATCATACTGCCATCCATAACCTGGTTATCTTAAAGATTTAAATAATATCGATTTACGGAACAGATATACATAGCAGTTACATGAATATGTGACATAACAGCCGATACAATTTTGTTATTCCCAAATGTAGGTTAATGAAAGCAGCGGCCTTTGGATAAGAATTGGGCATAAATGTTTCCAAACGCGGAATTCATACTACCATCAATGTTAGCACTTATAGATTCAAGCAAACAATATATATATATATATATATATATATATATATATACGTAAGAAAATAAATGATAGTTACCTTATTAAAACATTAATCTACAAATTGAAGTTAGCTAGCGATAATGAGGCGATTACTATTTCTGAGTTTTTCTCTGCACTACCGCAATATGCTTTCTTAATATTAAATGGAGATTAAAACTGTAGTTTCAACTGGTTTTCAGTCATATAAATTATAACCTAAGTTTAAGTCCTTAATACTTTGATAAGCTTATTTTAGAAGGTCTGAAGTAGACTCATATAGCTTCTGACATGTATCTGAAATATGTCTATCATTTAAGTATGTATCCACTCCATGCCTGTTGACCTGTTCATAGACACAGTAGTGGTGCTCAGTCATAAGTATCCAATTTTCACAACAGTGGATTTGTTTGGACTTTTAGGCATTTGTACAATGTCGTGAATGGAAAAAGAATGATTAACTAAGGTTTTGACCGTATTTTAAAAATGTCAGAATAATAACTCACGTAAATTTTGAACTACTTGTCAGTTCTGACTACAAATAATTTTGAGAAATGTTTGTTTTATATGAAACTATATTAACCTTGGGTGGTAGATGAATAAGTCATTTAGGACTTTACCAGAGTTATATGATGTGAAAACATTAAAAAAATATTTATTGACATTTAGCAACCTGAATTGTCTTTTTTACAAGTAGATTTTGCACTGATTTACTTGAAAGACATGCTTGGATGTGGTGCCGAAAAGGATACAAATTTTGTTGTGTATGGTTGTTACGACATTTCACTAATTCAAACATAGTAGAAATCTGTAAACACTATTATTTCGAGTGTTCACCTTTTGAATAACAAGATGTATTCTTAGTTTCTATGATGATTATATAATTATGAGTTAGGAATTAAGTCGAAGGAATCTACAAGCAAATATGTTGGTTTCTTGTGTACGTTAGATTATGCATGATATTGGAACTAAACTAACTCATAAATATTGATTATTGTTTGCAAACCAACGAAAAACAAAAGGCCCATCTTTTATAGTTTTTTTAAATAACTAAATATATATTCTGAAAATAATTACGTAATATATGCTGGTTAACAAGCATGATGAAGTTGATACAGATGGAAACGTTGCATGCAAAGGACAGACATAAGATTTTAGGCTGCTTGATGTGTTACAGTTCAAAAACTTGATGTACATTGAACGTACATTCTTCTCATGGATTGCAACAGTGTGCGGCATCAGTTGGGAACTATTAATTACTTGTAAGGAGACTAGAACATCCTGTTGATGTACGAACTGTGTATTTAGGGTCATTTCTAGTCCTATGACAGAATAACTAATATTATCTACAGCTAGAGAAAGGAAAACAGAAACAGAGAGCACAGAGCAGCAATACTAATGATAACTGTGATATGTATACATTTATAAGTGCTTGAGGTTGTCTTATAATCTAGTGTTTGGGTAAGATATTATTTTAATTAAAGTTTAATTTGGATAGTGTAAATATAATATATCGACAGGAGGGAAAGTTTAATCAGTATGCTCAGTAGTAATGATTATAAAAAACATTTCATTTTTCTATAATTTCACAAGTGGAATGAAATATATTTAGTGGTGCAAACAAATTTAAGTCAGTTTCAGAGGAGAAGCACAAACTGATGCAACGAAAAAATAACAGATATGATGCTTTTCATTGATAGACTGTAGACAATTATTCCAATCTCAAAAAATTATTAGTAAAATAATTCATATAAAAGAAAGTTTTAGAATAAAACCTTATCACTTATGTTACATGTTTAGGATGCTCTGTGGTTTAGACTAACTGCTTCCCGTCACAAAACATCAGTGAGTAGATCCAGCTGATTGATGTAAATGCCCATCACAGTGCAGTAGTAAATAACGTCATTATATTAGTCGAACAATGACCGACTTTCAGTAGATTTTATTTAAGCTTTACCAGCAACCAGTAGAATCAAATGGATACCCATCTCACGTTGGATTCAAACAGTCAATAAAGGGTATGAATCAATAATAATTTTATCTTGATGACACCAATGTAATAACCTAAATTCATCATGCATTGCTGGATATAAATCAAATCGTAACCGATTTTAATTTTTAAGTCCTAACCAACTCAATGGAGAGAATACTTGATGTGCGGAGAAAATTTCTAACGCTACAGAGTGGCCACTCTCATATAATTGTCTCCGAATAAAATACTTACAATATAATAAAAAAAGCTATAGAAAGCTTCCGCATCAAACGTCCAAAGGGTTGAATTCTAGTGCCGAAATAAGAAATCTAATATCTACATAGAAAATAGCAAGCACAAGATAAACTGATGGACGGTCTGACTGGATCAAATATTTTTAAAACATCTAAATCAGAATTTGTTGTAGTTAGTAGGAAGTCAATAATACTACACTTGAATATCGTTCCTGTTTAATTGTTCTGTTTAGACATTTAAAATGTTTTAGTGTTAACTTATGCGTAATACTTATAACTTGTGCTATCCAACTCCAGTATTTATTCGAAAATTTAAAGCTAATGGTATTCCGTGTCGGGTAAAGACATGTACAATGAAAGATGGTCGCGCAATTTCGTGGATTGGTTAAAGTTAGACATTAACACCGTTGGATGCTGGCCCGGTGGTCCAAAAGTTAAGTGTTTGCGCATAGGACCGCAGGCCCTAGGTTCGAATCCCGCTGGCGGGATCGTGGGTGTGTACTGCTGAGAAGTCCCACAATAGAACGAATCGGCCGTCCAGTGCTTCCAGATTTCAATGGTGGTCTAACACCAATCGGTTCACGATGTCAATTAAAAACTTAACAATCTCCACAACCCCATACTGCTAAAAAAATTACTGTTTGATCAGAATGTCTTAACTTCATCATGCTTTCATTTCAATAGGTTGAAATAAATACGTTTTTGTCTGGTAGAAAATGTATCGCTCACAATTTATTTCTAGACCCATAGTACAAGTAAAGATCATTTTTAAGGGGATAATTATTTATACCTAAAATATTGATATTATGTAATAAAAAGAGAAATAAGAGGTTTTTAGCAGAAAAACGTTTAAACAGTGTAATGAATTTACAATGACAAAGAGAAATGAAAGTTCATTGTCGATTAGTAAATCATTGTTTTATAAGTTATATTAACATGTCCAAGTACCTTGCATAAAAGTATTCCATTCCTTAACTCCTTAATACATTCAACTGTTCAGTTAGTGGATTTATACTTTCAAATTCTTCCACTTGGGATTTGTCAAATAGTTTCGGATTTGTTAAGTTTTCGTTGTATGCGGAACGATACACTAAAAGTACTGACTGATATTCTTCCTAAACGTCTTAGACTTCATAAATGAGTTGTTTTAAATTATAAGAATCATTATTATATCTCGTTCGTAGTATGATATCTGAATTTAACAGATCATGTTAATCAAAGAATACACTATAAAAGCTTATCTAACTGACTTGGTAGTGTATTATTATTATTCATGAGCAGTTCGCATAAAAATAACACTTTATTCGAGATCGAGTCTACGTTGACCATTTTTCCACTTGATCCTCTTAGCTGAACACCTTTGAACAGATGACTCATTACCTATAACATTCGTTTCTGACTATCATGAAATATACAACGATGAGAGTTAAATTTACATGAAATTCTTTCTTCTTTTCCAGTCGTATCACTGTTCATTATCAGTTCTTTACAAGATGTTACATATTAGAATCAAGTAAATGTCCTAGAAGCGAAAATTAATCAATATTTTCAAACTTTATTTTTGTATATAAAATCTTGTCATTTATCGTATCCTATTTTGTATATGTATGCATAACTACATCTACAGTGGGGAATGAAAACTTTCTGTACAATCTGATTGGGCCATTGGAATTTGAGTGGTTGTATTTGACCATCTGAAATCTGAAAAATGTTTCCTTAAATCACTGTTAGTTTGTATTTTTTTGTGTACTCATATATATACATATAAAATGAAGAGTATATTTCTCCGCCCTCATTTCGTTCCTATAACACTTACGCATTAACTTTGTCAACTATAAACTCAGTTTAATTTATTTTGACTAACAAAACTTAGATTTTAGTATCTAGTACCATAATCGGTTGTTTTTAGGAGAAATAGTATTTAGTTCATATGCTAAAATATTACACTTGTACATTTTTGTGTTACATTTGTCTCATCATTGTCATCGAGGCAAGGACAAGAACAAAGGATTATGATAAAAACTTGGGCGTGAAAGCAGTAACAAGACTGGTAAGTATTTATTTTGTTTGTTTTTTCCTTTAGACCTTAATATTTAAGCCAATTTGTCAACTTTTTGTCGATTTTGTCATATCATCATAAGAAGTCCATTTAATATTGGATTGGGGAAGAACTATAACGGGATTTTTAAAATATTTTAAAATACCTACTAAGAAAAGAAATATTTTCCTGTATTATCTACGAGTTGATGAATTAGGATGACATTACAATCTTAACGAACATGGATGTTTTCATTAAATGTCACACATACGTTTGTTAAAAATAGGGAAGAGACAGCTTAAAGTGAAGTTGCTCTATTCCAGAGATAGACAATTTCATTATTTCATCAAAGTTACTAAACATCACGATCAATTTTAAGACATATACTTTTCTACATTGATTGGGATCGCTCAACTAGTCAAATAACTTAATTTTGATATAAGTTGGTTATAAACAATCAGTAAGGGTGAACTTAGCTTTTTCCTTAGCTGTCGTTCCTCATCCAAGTGTATCTACCAATCATTAATCAAGTGGATTTCCTCGTGAAACTAGGACCGGTGTCGCCTATTATCACAGCCAGAAGTGTCAGTCAGCTGTTCCATAGAATTAAGACAAGATTGACGACTGAATAAATGATACATTAACGATTATTTAGTGTTCAAACAGTGTAAATGCTTAATATGTTACTTTATTATATTCTATTACGAAGTAGAATCATTCTATCTATCAGTAAAAATGTTTATACTTACGACAAGATTCTTTTTTCGTTATTAAAGTTTCATTATACGTGAGATTATCAGAACTCAGTTTGATGTATATATATATATATATATATATATATTATATATATATATATATTTTGGTGTCCCGAAGTGAACGTCAACTCTGCGATGCAGGTATATCTAACTGATTAGTCCCAAATAGGACGAAACGCGCGTCCTGGATTTCACTGCAAGCCACTATCCATCTTCGCTTAAAAAGCTTGTGACTTAAGGCTATATAGAGGCAATCCGCACTGGATGCATATATGCCAACACGAGACTGATCAATTGCAGTCCTAAATAACAATGGGAAGATACAAGTAAAACAACACCAAGTGAACTTATATAAAATTTAGTTATGAAGAAATGATATAGGATCTTTTAGATGCATTTCTGTTTTCAACTTAATATGTGTTGTTAATGAATGCTTAACCACAAAGTTAATTTTAGGACTGAAAACGAAAATATGAAACTTCAAATCACTTTAGGAATATCTGAAGTACTTTAGAAGACATGAAATGTTCGCTAAAAAAAGGTGTGACTGAATTTTCTCATGCATTTCGAAACACAAATAAATTCATAGACTGCATAAGATGCTAGCGTGTATCTATCAAGGATTGATACTGACGTTGAATTAGATAAGTATCTATTTAATCATTCTATTTGTATAAGCTAGATTATTGTATCAGCACGAACATCAATGAATGAACTAGTAATGCCATTTTACAATAGTAGTAGTAGTTGTTGTTGTTGTAGTAGTAGCGTTATATGATTCGATTACATTCCGATAGAGTAGGCAATGATGTTCCAAGTATTTATTCGATATATTTCTGTACAGCAGAATACCACACTAAAATGAATGTAGCCATCAAAACAGCTATTATTCCATAGAAATATAACACAGAAATAGTGATATAATGAACAATAATCACCTAGTTACTTACTAAATTCGTACACTAAAATAATATGGTTATATTTTGGGCTATTAATATTTTAATCTTAAAAATGAAGAGATTTTTCAGTTACAAACATGCAAGATTATCGATTGATATAGTCTGAAATATGTCATATATATGTCGATTCATTTAGCAATTATGTTTTGCTTATGTTGTAGCAACTCAGGGCATATTTTAAGGTAGAATATAGCATAAAGATGTATAGTTATCATTCATTAAGTTCAGTGATGTAAGTTTTATATAGGGATCTTAATTAGGCTTCGCTTTGTCAAACATCTATTGTACCTTGTGAGAGAAGTAATTCATGATTACTTTTATTTGTATTTACCTTCGCTAGCCTACATTTCCAGAGCTCAAAATAAATGCACTAATTAAAATTTTGCAGCACTCTCCTGTAGTCCGAGTTATTATTATTATTTACTATTTGAATACATAAATATTGGCACAAAGGGACACCGAACACATATGCGCCACACAAGTCACCTTATTTATGTGTGGGTGCCCAGATCTAAGCAGGTGGTTTTCTTAGGGTGCCACACCAGGAGCCTTCGACCTAAAGGTCTAATCACCAAGGCAGTGGAGCAACGTCAGGGGATACAGTCCCACCGCTCATACGCCATTTTTCCCTTCAAGATCATGGATTTCATGTGTACCATTGGCTTAGAATAAAGGTTTTCTAACTCCCCTAGGTGGATCCTCTGTGTTCGCCAATCATGTTTAAGCGCAGGGCATTCACTTTCGTAATCAACACTCCCGTCACGAAAAGGCAGTGAGTTGGACTTCCCTGGCAGTGACTGTTACGCTTGGCTATGTGAGAGCGTTTGGAGAGGGAGAGGTGACTCTCCCCACCTTCAGTTAAAAGTTCATTGGTAACCTAAAATAAGGGAAATACACGAACATAATTATCTAGCTATTAGTTACTCATACAGAGAAATATAAACAATAACAGATCGTAAAAGAGACCCAAAGTTATTGTACTATCCATCCGGTACGTCTTTAAATTTGATTTTTTTTGAGATAACACTTTTTAAAATGATAAAACAGTATATAGTCTGGTTATTCGGTGGAATTTATTTATTAAACAAAATAATTAGTCCACAGAAGCCATTTATTTGCATGGTATTCGTTTTTACGAGCAATGGTTGCTCTAGAATTGTTAACACTGATATCAGATTACGAGAATAAAATTATAACAGATAAATGAGAGTATATATGACCATTTTTTTATTTAACTTCCTACATTTTAGTGTGGTATGGAAGGAGAGGAATGCATGGATGATTTCAATTGTTGTGAAGAGTATGAATGTAGCCCTGATTGTAAGTAAAATTAAGTTTATTATTATACAGAAACACTTATTATGTTGGTAGCATAAATAATTCATTATGAGTATCTCATAAAGTTAGATTATGTAATAATGTAATCTAATTGTATGAATATTGATGTTCCAAGTGGTAGACCAGTCCCTAAAACAATGAAGCTGCAGATTTGACCTAGAAAAGGCCTACTGTAATTTGACGAACAGGTATTATCACTAATAATGGTGAAAGCCGAATAAACGAACCACCGGCTTACAGAACACATTTTTAACTTTATAGCTTTCTAAAGAATGTTTGTATGACAGATGAAATATTTAGGACTTCATATAAATTAAAACTTTGACTACATAAACTAGCAATATTGTTACGAAACAAGTAACTTTCTTGTGGACGGCTTTCATCAAGAGTTGGTATCAGCTGAAAATTCTAAAACCCGAAACAAATCTTTGCATTGTTTTATGAAGTAATTCTCTTAAGTATACTGTCAGTTTCTCCCATGATACTGCTGAAGCATTATGTTTTTATCGTAACAAATGAAAATGTTCAGAACTATTCACTGAGCTTTGTCATGTTATAATTAGTGCCAAATAATAATATCTATGCATTGAAAATGCATCTTTTGATTTAGATACAGTCGATACTCATAGGTGTTATATCTTTTTGTTAGTTTTAACTTGTAATGTAACTCATTTAAATGTTATGCTGATATTGTTAATAAACCATATACTGAATCTATAGTAACACTCTAAGTATTGTTCAAAACTATTAACATGTTTTACATATATCGAAATATGATAAACATGATTTTCTTATACTCCTACCATGTTAAATCGAAAGTGTTCATTAAGAAATGGAAATTTTGATATTGTCATGTTTAACATCAAAATTACTCACGATTGCTTATTCTGTAGAAATGTTTATTTAATATAAAGTCAAAAGATTATATGAGAACATTCAACAATATCAATATAAGGATTATTTCTTGTATATCAACTATTTCAAATCATCATTACACGGTTGTTGAGATTATTAAGTTTTTCATTAATATCATGAACCGATTGATGATAGACCACTATTGAAAACCTGGAAGCACTGAATGGTTGTTACTTCCTATTATGAGACTCCTCAGCAGTGTGCATCCACAATCCTGCTCGTGGGTTCGAATCCCGGTTCATGATATCAATCAAAAAAATATTTCAAATCTGCTTCACCCATTTCATTAATAAATGTACTTATTTCAATAATATACATATTAAAGTTTTATTTTCAATGAATTTCATTTAATCTCATTCAGTTTTATGACCTCAATTCGGAAAACTTTTAACCCTTGTAAATTATTTGTTTATTTTCAGAAATTTTAATCATTTCATAATACTTGGTATTACAATTTCAACTACAGATTAAACGGATTCATTCAGTATACTTTGTATTTTTAGTTAGATCACTTTAGTCGGTTGATTTAATATACATTCTTATATTTAGTTCAATTACTTTATATTGTATTCATTTGTTATAATAGTCTAATTGTTAATGGACTAAATATTACTTCAAATTCCAGTTATTTTATAACTAAGTCAGGGTAAATTATTCAAAAGTACGTTTCGTTTTCTACAGTTAAATAAGGGTAGTAGTTAATTTCAATATTCTTCGAAATCTGTTTCTTTTTTCTTTAAAAAAATCGAAACGTAAGCTGTTATCATCACCACCGTTAGGAGGATGTATTTCTTCTACGAGTAAAATAAGTACAATTATTATTATTATTATTATTTACTCAATTTACTAATTACTTAGAGTCAACAAAGTAAGTGATTCTAACTGCACATGTATTACTGTTTTTCAAATGATTAGTATCTAAGACACTTTTTCTTTAGTTTTAAATATTCAGTAGCTACTCATGTTTTTTAAAAATTGAATATTCATCATACATAAAGTGATATTAGCAATTTTTTGATTTAACCGATATTCCCTTGTAGGAAATATTTAAATGCGTATAACTTGTAAAGTGTAGTTGTCACTTTGAGGTCACTTTTTAAATGCTTCATCATATCTCTAATTAAATATCCCGGTTTATTAGTTTTTTTTATAAAAAAGGTAAAACGTTCATTTCAGAAAAGTTATTTTCATTTTGTTTAAATACACTTATTGTACAAATTATAAAGTAGTTAGTCTCTGTACAAACTTTTATCAAAGTTTATGATTCACTAGATCTTTTTGAAATGATTCCAAATGAATCAAGAAATCATTTAACACTGAAACTTGTTTAAATAGATTTTCCTTAGTAACCCACTCTCCTTAACCCTTGTTTGATGTATAATAAAATATATAGATATAGACCTTAATAAATCAAAATAAATGTCTTTTATCAATATTAGTTAAATGAATAGTAGTGGAAATGATTTGTTCACTTTATGAATAATATACAACTCCTTAAAGAACTTATTATTCTATGAAGAATCAATCTATATTTCCATGAATGATCTATCAACGTATGATATTTATTATTTGTATAGTTGCCATATGTATGTAGAAAATATTGTTTTTTTGATATATTCTACATTGATGATCATATAACTGATTTATTTAAGTAATATATTAAGATTATCTATAAATGTTCCTTAAATATATATATGATTTTTTAAAAAGAATTCTTATTTTGAATTATTTATTTTTATTTCAAATGATAGTACAATGTCAACTTAGAAATGCTAGAAATAAAATTGTTGGATCTTATCGAAATTTATGTGTAGCTGATTATGATTGTCCACCAGGATGGTGTTGTGAAGGCAAATTATATGCACGTCGTTGTACACAAGATTGTAGTAGAAAAACTGAACCAGATGTTGTTCCAGCTGGAAGTTATTATGGACGACAATTTTGGAATTTATGGGCACATAAACGTCATATGGATCGTAATCATTATTGAACATTTGATGGATAAATCAAACAAAAATATTATTCTCTTATTTATTCACTAAAGAATATTTCAAAACTTTAATTTGGTTGTGATAAACAGTAATGGTTGTGATATAACCGGTTGTGAATAAACTTCATTTCATTTGAATTTTAGAAGAAAGTTTAAAACTGTGTTTGCTTATAAATCAATTAAATTATTCTCATTACCACTCAGTATTTATCAGTTATATTTATAGTGAAAAGCCCCTCAGTCAGTCATACATAACGAAGCATCTATCATATATGTATTAGTCCAAGTTACTACACCACATTAGTATAACGAGTTGCCGGAATAGTGTCAGTAATAACAGAATTAGTGGTAGTAGCAAATATTAATTATCGAATATATATATCAAGAAGTATGGATTGGTGTGATATAAAGGAATTTTTAGGTTGGTTGTGAAACTTATGTTTACAAGGGAAACAAAAACTTAATACACATGCAGATTGTGAAATATTACAACCCATGTCAACCAAAGTCTCTAACGATTGTACGTGATAACCGAGATGAAATTAACCAGGTAATCTCCAGCTAAACATCGTTTCTCATCCCAAAAGTCAATGACTTCATAAACAGCCACTAGCTGTCTCCAACTTACTCCTACGCTGGCCATTATAATAGATCCAGGTAGGTGGTGTTTCGACACACGATGATTCTTCATACTTACCTAATACCTAGTCTGATCTCAGCATTTATCACTAAGTAATCCCAATTTACATGATCAAAACTTCGAAGGTCTCTGTGAGTGTAATAACTTACATACATCTTCATTTTTTAAAGATCATGTTTCATAGCTATAATGTAAAACTACAGAATTCTGAGCAATTAATTTATCCTTTGTTGGGTGACAGATACCTTGACTACATCGCAAAACTAGGCCGAACCGAGAATTCACCAGGCACTGGCCTAATAGAACTGATCAGACTTCTAAGATAACTGAAACAATTGACGAACTCAATCATTTCAATCTCCACATTAATTAAGGTACTGACATAGGGCAGTCCTGAAGCAACGTTTTTGTTTAGTGGGAGAGAATCACATCCTAAACATGATTGAATTGTTACTTAAGGTAGTCATAGGACTCTGATTTTTTCTCCATTCTTGCCAAATCAGACTATATTATTTATTTATTCAAAGTGAACGTGTGTATCGCCTTGTAGGAGATCAATTCCAGAAAAGTTAGACAATAGGAACGCTGTCTCTAAAAGGATATCTACAAAAGGTTGAATAAAACTTTTGAAAACAAACAACTCAGACGAACTCCACTTCAGTCTACTGTGTCCCATGATTGTTCAATATAAGCTCTGTTCAAGCACAGAGTTTGTACAAGGCTGCTTTACTTCTTTCTTTGGTAAGTCATACTTCACGTTCTTTTCGATAACATTTGGGAGGAAGAACAAGTGCTGACGGACTGAGAAAAGGATATCTCGCCAAGATACCAAAAAGAGGATCTGAGTACATGTGAAGACTACAGAGGCACTACACTACTGTCAGTACCGAGCAACTTTTCAAAAGAGTGTGGCTTAACGGGATGAAAGACACAGTAGGCGTTCGGCTTCGAGATCTACAGGCCGGATTCTGTAAGTACCAGTCGTGCACAAACCAAATCGCGACACTGCGGATCATCATTGAACAATCAGTCGGATGGAACTCGTCACAATACATCAACATCCTTGACTGAGAGAAAGCATTTAACAGTCTGGGTAGGAAGGTACTATGGAAACTTCGACACTATGGAGTACCTGAGAAAATCGTCAAAACCATCCGGAATTCAAACGATGCACTACAGCGCAAAAGCTTCAATGGAGGACAGTTGACAGATGCATTCCAAGTAAGGAGCGAAGTCAGACAAGTTTGCTTACTCTATCCCTTTCTCTTTAATCTGGTGGTCAACTGGATTATGAAGACCTTGACATCTGAAGGGAAGGATGGAATTCAATAGATAGGTTGGATGCAACTAGACGATTTCGAATTCTATCTCATCCACACCAATAAATACAGGTCAAGACGATCAGTGTAGCAGAAGCCCGTGCATCAGTAGGCCTCAACATATAGAGAGGAAACAGCAAGATCCTCAAATACAACACGGAGAACACCAACGTAATCATACTTGATGGAGAAGCTCTGGAAGAGGTGGAAAGTTTTACGTAACTGGTCAGGAGCATCATCGATGAACAAAGAGGATCAGATGCAAACATAAAGGCACGGATTGGCAAAACAATGACAAGATTCCCACAGTTGAAGAATATATGGGACCCAAAACAACTGTCAACCAATATTAAAGTCAGAATCTTCAATACGAACATCAAGACAGTTCTACTGTATTGAGCCGGAACTTGGAGAACTACTACAAACATTATCAAGAAGGTGCAAGTATTTATAAATAGTTTTCTACGCAAGATACTCAACATCCATTGGTCGGATACCATCAGCACCAGCCTACTGTGGGAGAGGGCAAACCAGCTTCCAGCTGAAGAGGAAATTGGGAAAAGACGCCGGAAGTGCATAGAACGTACATTCCGGAAATCCTCAAACTGCATCACGAGGCAGGCGGTAACTCGGGATCTTGAATGGAAATGGAAGAGATTAAGACGAGACACACTGCATCGGGAATTGTGGGTAGACACCAATAGAATGAATAGCAATTGGAAACAACTGAAAAGGTTTGTTCTGGACTGGCGGGGTTAAAAAGTAAGTAATTTACTGATAAATAAGGATAGCTTTATGTTCATTCGGTAGTTTACTTAAATACCATAGTTATTGATCTCCAGGTACAGATCTATTTGTTAATTTTTCTTAATCTTAATTTTGTCTTATTTCATTATATTTACTTGCATCTCTATAAAACGGCCAAGTAATACAAACATTTCAGCCCTACCGAAAGATAGTCGGCACTTAGTTGGTTTATTGTTAACGTTAACACCAATTGACAAGACTTCAGATTCCACACTAAATATCATGACTTTTGAGGCTGAATGGATCACTGAAGAAACAATGAAAAAAATGGAAATCCTTAATTAGTAGTAAATGTTATACAACTTGGTAGTTATTATGACTCAGCAGTCGAATTTAAAGAGCTCTAATGAGATGGGTATCGTATGTTGATTTTTCATGGAAACATCTAAACTGGTATATAAGTACATTCATGTGATGAGTTCTGAGACCTGCTTTCTGGATTCCACTACTATCCACTATCCAGATGACCAGTTTAAACACATTACATATTTTATACAACTATTCTATTTCACAGATGAAAATAACGAAAATATCTTTATTTATGCATGAGGTCAATGTGATATTATTCAAAATGAAGGTCATTACTCAGATCGACAATGAATTGATATTTTAATATGTCTTAATGTATATATTATGGTACATCATTCAATTTTGCTTTATATTAACTCGCCTCTAGCAAATTGTCCGACCTTTTACTTGAGAAATACAATTGGATACAAAATACAGCTTGATAGGTAAAAGAATTAAATTAAACTCTCTCTTATAATAAATATATATAAAAAAAGATGTCGAGAAAAATTCCAGTTTAACCCAATGATGACTTTTCCATAGATGTTATTCATCATCGTTCCTTTTTCCCACAGTCTATTTTAAACTCAACAGGCTCAGTTAGTTGAAAAAATATTGAATATTGTCCTGATACCTAGAACCTGGTACAACTTCTTCTGTAGTGTGTATATTTGACCTTATTTTAAGACAGAAAGTCAACAAATCCAGTTCATTTAGTAATTTATTCATTGGTGATATACATTTTCTTCCCGAATAAGTGATTGGCTGCTTAGACGAAATTTATTCTAAATTATTATGTATTCTCATGGTTATCTACTAAATTTCCAAACGTTGTATTTAGCAAGTTTCAGAATTCTTTTACTATTTGTGTAACCCTATACGGCACTACTTTAGGTGAGAAAAAACATCAAACTAGAAAGTCGTTCATTTAACAATAAAATTGAAAATTGATTTATTATAGAAAATGCTTCTCCAAGTTATTGAAAGTGTGTTTGAGTGTAATGCTATGGTGGAATATCGAAAGATTATTATTCATTTCTATTGGTTTTTAATAGTCATTGTATTTTTCATTCATAAAATTATCTCATTTTCAGATGTCAATGCAACCAGACTTTATGATTATTAGGCAGTACCTAATTAATTTAGATACCATCTTTGAGCGACACATACATAAAAAACTAAAATCATCAAGTTAATTTGTCGGGCAGCAACAGAAAACCGTGTAGATTGTAAGACTAATCATAATAATTAGGCAATAATAATTGATTGTATTATGATAGATTTAATAGTAAGTATAAGAATGATCAAGATAAAGCAGTAAGGTGAAGAAAATATTTCTGCATTTATTAACTTAAAGGAATTCATTAAGATTAATAATCTTTAAAACTAATGTAGGATTAATTAATGAAGTTTATGAACAAGCAGTATAATTTAATGCATTTAAATAGATGAAACGAAACTGACTGTTATAGTCTTATTCATCACATAACCAATGTTGACAAAATGTGATTCAAAATTAATGTGTGTTGAGTTTGTTTGATCTTTGCCTAACCATGAAGGTCAATCCTAACTAAATTGTTGGCTAATTTGTCTGAAAGTACGCTCTCTACATGTGCAAACTAACTCAGTAAATTAGTAGAAAGTATTGAAATATAGAAACCTCACAAAGGTTTCAAACGTTCACTACGAACCAATTAGCAAATAATAAAAGATGGCTGCCTGCACAAAAGATAGTGATAAATAGCTTGATGATAATGAATTTCTACTTTACATTTCTGTTCAGACCGAGAGTTGCGGAAGTATCGTCAATATATCCATGGTCCCGCACGCGGGACTCGAACCCAGGACCTTCGGTCTTGAGAGCGAACGCTTAACCTTCAGACCACTGAGCCGGTATCAAACGAAACGGGCATCCAATGCTTCCGGGTTTTTCATGGTGGTCTAAC